TCAGCCGCAACAATAGATGTTCTCATTATGAATTTTTGAGTTATTTTTAATCTTCATAGAGGACATGAAATGCGGAATACAAAGAGGGATTTCATCCGCTTTAAAACCATCATCAGAGACTCCAACATCAATAATACTTGCATGAGCAACTGTAATATATTCATTTCCCTCTTCAATCACAAATTTACCAGAAAAAAAAATATGTCACCCAGTGAGAATTCTAAGTGGAGTTTATTGAAGGGATGAAAATATTTCCATTTAATAAGTTGAAAAGCATTTTTATCAGATTGATACTTTGCCAGGCCTTGCGCGTGAAAGGTTTTATCATACTTCGCAACAATTAGAACGATCAGAGAAACATGTGACAGCATTTTAGTTAAAACATACGATAATAAAGGTCAAATTTAAATCTTACGGTACACCTAAAAAACGAAAATATCTATAATCCCACGAACTTTAAATACTTATTGTTAACACATTCACCAAGCAATTATATCATGTTATTACTATAACATACTCATGTGTTATGAAACGTGTCAAATTCTTATTATTAAAATCCAGTTCACAGAACTGGCGCCACGATAAATAATCACGTTTGAGATTTCAGCACAAGAAAAGAAAGCTTAAGCACAGATAACTCACGTGAGACGAATCAAATGCTTGTTTTTTTTCCCGCTATTGTCAAAAATAAAAAGAAGGACAAATATTTACTCAAAATACGCAAAGCCTTGTATATAAAATTTTTTTTTCCTTCTAAAAAATAACTATAAATACAACACGAAATCGATAAAAAAGCTTTGGGGGAGCAGCACTAGAACCGATATGTAACGCTCAAGCACAAGTACAAGTATACTATAAAAATGCTGTAATAAACAATTTCCTTTTCGGATAAAATAGGCAATGTGGCGGCTTATGAGGATACACCAAAAGATTAACCGACAAATCAAAAAACATAAATTTTAAGATCAACCAAACAAATTTAGAAACAACCGGAAATAGCTCGAAAGTAAACATCAAGTAAAATGTTAATGTCGTTAAATAAAAATATTGTATTAAAATTTTCTGTGATTATATAAAATTAGTGAGTATATAGATGATTATAGAATGCAATGTACACTACATTAAGTTTATTAGAAAGATGTCCATAAGAAATGGTTAAAACTTTTCTAATTACACACAATAAGATTTTAAATTTAAGATAAAAAAAAGCAAAAAAATTTTCTATCATTTTTAGAAATAATACTAAAGTCTTGATAGCTAGATGCATCCGATTGGATCATAGTTTGCTCTTGCTGCCAATTAGTAATTATTTGTTCAAATTCGCATGTTTGATATGATTTATCTATATTGTCAAAACTGTAAGATCAAATTAATAAACACGTGGAAAATAAGAGAATAAAAAAATTAAATAGAAATCTTTAAACATTACTAGCTGAATAAAGCTGTTCTCTGCAGAACTTTTTTATCATCCACCAATTGATTTATATCTTTTATATCATAAACAGAAAGGTCCGTTAAGTATTTAGAATTAATTTCTGGTATCCCAAGCACGCATGTATTCAATTCTTCATCTTTGGAAAATTCTATTTTAAAGGTAGAAGAATCACCACTTTCAAGTAATACAGGATAATTTATTTGATCAAAGTCAAAATTAATAGGCTGACCAACAATGATCCATCCAACTCTTATTTGAGAACTTTTATGATTTTTATGTAAAGGCTTTTTAAGGTGAATTATGATCAAAGGAATATGCTCATTCATATAACCTATTTGTAAAGAAAACCTGTCTCTATCACTCTTGTTTATAATTGAAGCAAAGATATAACAATTATTAATCTTTGTGAGTTTATCTAGGTCTGTAAATTGTGTGGCTAGTAAATGAACATATGATGCATTCTTTGAAAAATCCCAATATGGTGGAATATCATGGATGCCTGCTATAAAATATGCGTAGTTTAAAATGAATTAATAGTTAGTATATAATACTTTATTAACGTCAAAGTATTATTACCTTTTAAAATGCGGTGACCTAGAATATCAAAGATTTCTTTTTGTAAATTATCATCCAATAAATCAAAAATTGAATAGATTTCATCATACTCAATAATATCCCAAACATCACGATTGTCAAGAGAGTTAATCCAAGATCTTAAAGAAAAACCATTGTATTCTTTAATTCCACCAATGATTCGAACTTGATTGTCGTTAGTATCTACAATCAAAATCAAAATAAAATTTTACTCCAAAATACTTGATAAATAATGAATTCAATTTATGATTAATTTACTTATGATTCCTTTAATAGATGTCTCTTTAATTACAGCCCCACCAAAAACAAGACGACGTGCGTAAAAAGTACCGTATTTTTTTGCTATCATACGAAGTTGTGATTCTTTATCCTCACATTTTAACGCGCCTTTGACTTCTTCGATAAAAGCATTTGTAGGATTAATGTTTTGTTTTGAAATGGTGATTTCTTCTTTTTCCCATATTCTATATGAACATTCTGTGGTTGTTATACGATCAAGAATTTCATAGGAAGAATGTAGTGGTACTCCAAGAGAAACAGAAAGACAAGGCAAAATGTTTGAAATATTTTTACAAGACATAAGATTTCGTTTGAATAAAGCTTCTAATTTGCTTTCACATTTTTCCACTTTTTCAATAACATTATTTATTTGAGTTTTTGATTCAACCTTGTCAATGTTAATCGTGAATACTTGTTCAGAAGCATTCTTAATGTCATTATTATCAAATGCATATCCTTTAAATTTCGTAATCAAATTGAGGTAAGCTGGTTGTTTGCTATTTAAGATTCCGTCTGGATTAATTGTTAATTTCGATAATTCAGATAAATCTATACTTGCATCTTCATCGTTTATATGCCTTAAAATATGTTGATTTTGTACTTTGAATGTGTCTTGAATTTTAATGAGAATGTTTTCTTCAGGTGAAACGGATTTATGTTTTTTCATTATGATTATTATTGATAAGATATCCATTACTTTCCATTTTTTTTCAAAGTAATAAAATGCAATATCAACATGTTTAGTCGGAACTTTCTGTTAACATTTTAAAAATCGGGTATAAGGAGAAATAAATCCGAACCTATGATGGAAAATTATGTTTTACAATAAACAATTTGTTTCATTCAAATTTACAGGCTTTTCTTTTGTTTACATTGTGTGATCAAGTGTCATCCGAAATACCAGAATTTCATGTAACTATCAATTCAATGTACGTATACCAAAGTTGAGTTATCTTTTCAAAAAAGGAAATAAACTCGCGTAACTATTGGAAAAAGGTTATTGTAACTTTGGATTTAAATGAATGTCGGAGGGCAAAAAACAATGATTCAGAAACATAATAAATACCATTCGTTTATCTTCACGCAATTACTTAAACATAGATAATTCGTGATTGTAGTTGATTTAGTGTTAGACTATAAAGTCGACTTAGTCGACCAAGTTAACCAATTTTTAGAAAAATTTACTTAGTCGACTTAATTAGGATATATAAGGAAAGTCGTGATATTCGGAGAATTAGACAAGTAAATAACCTAAACATCAAGCGTCGACTTGACATAATCGACTAGGCCGGTTTTTAAATATCAACTTAAATCAAATTGATAAATTTAGCTAGATACATTCATTAAATTCGTGCACACAACACTGCAAGAACAAAACAAATGTCACCCGATCTTTATGAAGCATTTACAAAGTGTAAAAATATAGTTGAAATTGGCAAAACTGCACTGTATAATAAATCTATTTGTGATGGTCTTGTTAAGGTAGTGATATTTTCAGCAGAACCAATTGTAAAATTATTACAGTATCAAACAGATTGTCAAGAAAATGCAATTTCAAATGAAAAGCTAATCAGGTTCAAAAATTCTTTGATGGATATCGAAAAATTAGTTGAATGTGTGACACATATTCGTGGCTCCATAGAATATAAAGATGTTGAGAGTATAAAAAATAATGTTAATCAAATTATGAAAGAATATTGGGCTTGCGTAGAAGACCTGGATCCGAAATTCTCAAATATGCATAACATCGTTGAACAAGAATATTTGAAAGACGACGAACTTGAAGATGTATGTACGTTAAAGGTATAACTCACTCTTGTTAAAGTGAAGTCATCTGGTTGAAAAAAAAACTTCACTAGGCTTTTATCGAGAAAATACAATATGTAAATTACTACATCGAGTTGAACTTTAATAATTCCGTAATTTAAAATTCTCCACTATATTGAATTTTTACTATATCGAGGGTTCACTATAACGAGAATGAGTTGTATTTATAGAATCTATAGATAATCTAAATAATATTATTTAAATTAGCTATGGTATTCGAAGTTCGAAAATCCAACTATATAAACATATTAATCATAATTTTTTCTTTATTGTAGTTTATTATGAAGCAATCTTTAGTGAAAGATAAAAAATTAAACCATGGATTGATTATTTCCGACCGGGGAATAAATTCAAGATACGAATTCGAATCTCGATTTAAAATTAAAATTAATCCTATAAATCGTGATGCTAGAAAATTCGATATAAATTTGTTCCCGATTAAAACTCAAAAGGACATCTTGTCAAAATACAGTATTAAGCCATCTACAATTAGCTCTGAGTATTTTCAACTTTTTTTCGAGTCCATTATCTAATAAACCTCTTAATGATGTTTACTTTGAAATTCTGTATCCAAAATGGGAATTAGTTTTCGAGAAAAAAGATATAAAATTGCCTGAAGAATTAATCAGAGAAATTAAAGATTCTTTGAATTCCTGTAATCCTCACCATGAATTAGTCCAAATATTTAGAAATTATGGGCACTTTGTACCGAAAAAGGTTATTCTTGGGCATAAATTGCATAGAATGTCATGTTTGCAAAATGGCGTAACCTTGCAAGAAGAGCAAAAGCATGAAACTAGTGAATATTTTAAAACAAATGAGTTTAAAGAACTTTGGGATCGATGGTACAATTCGATTGTACATCTTAACTTTAACAAATCATATTTATTATCAATGAATTCTAACATGTTTAGAAGAGAAGATCTTATTGGATGGGCAGAATCTTGTCTAAATGGTGATAACGACATGCAATTCATAAGTTGGGAATTATATCCTTTATATGAGCTATTAGATGTTAATTTGAAGCAAAGCGTCAAAGTCATTTTCGGAATGGAAAATATAAATGTTAAAAACAAAGTATTGATGTCAGGAGTGATCCCAATTACAGATTCTTTCTATTATTTTGTAAAATTCCCATATAAACTAAACACTGAAAAATATAAAATTTTCGGTAGACTTGTAACACAAGATGGGAACCCACTTAACGCAATTATAAAATTTAAAGCCCTAACTCCACATAGCTTCGTAATCTTTATTGACATTAATAAGACTATGTAAGTATTCATTCAATCTATTAGCTAATAATAGTTACAGTTAATACGCAAGTGATTTCTTATCTATTTTAAATTTCAGTAGGTCCATGCATTTAAATCTGAAGATCTTTTGGATCATGGTTGGTTTACCTACAGTTGGATTTTATAGTATAAATACTAGAAATATCCCCATATTAGCATCGGGTAGCCATGAATTTGCGTATGCAAAAACGCTGGATATTTTTTTCGCAGTACCAGAAAATCTGCCAACAAACTGGATTCTTTGCGTCTCTTTCCAATATCTAAAAAATTGTGGGCCGAATTTCCGTACTATTATTCAGTATGATAACGTTAATAATAAAATTTGTTTCATCATTTATGATGAATTCAATATAAGCCTTAGCAACTATGATAAATTAAAAAAAGAATATTTGCTCCATTGGTGTATTCTTCCTAAAGATTTTGAAGTTTTAGCTGATGTTCTTAAGGATAGAAAGGTCTTAATAGATGATCTTCCCAAAAATAGGAATTTAACTACATTTATTGAACGTCAAGAACTTTTAACTACTTTGTCTCCTGAAAATCAAGATATTTTTCCGGAAGAAAGATTTAATTTGAGCTCAATTGGCCAAGGTAATGTAACCTAAAACTTCATTTTTTATCATAGCATTGAATTTCTAATTAATACTGTATTCAATTTTTTTAATTAAAGAACTTCGAAGCCATGGAGATAGAATATTGTTACAAATCATCTATTATGTTTCCTTTATTTTTATTATTTTCAATATGTATTTTTTATTTTTATGGTTCCTTTATTATTTTATATGTATATTTATTGCTTTATTTTTATTGCTTTATTTTACATTTTTTATTTTCATAGTAATACCTCGTTATAGTCACCCTTGATATAGTCATAAACTCAAGTACTGTTATGGTTTATTTGTACAGTACTGTGTGAGGCTGACAAAATGGCCGAACCATCACATCATGTAAGAATCTAAAATGTAATGGAAATCTTAATCGCATAAATGTTCGAACTTCTACTTATATATTGTACGCATTTATATTATAGTATTATACCAGGAACGGAGTTTTCCGTAAGTGAAAACGGAGAGCATGGTTTACCAAAATGTTCGAGGATGTGCGTCCACAAAATCTTGCATTTGGTTGGTTGCCACAGTTGGCTATGATTTCTAAATATGTAAAATCGGATTATTTCGGGTTTGCTTTTGATTGAATAAGCCATTTAAAGTGTTACCATTGTGACTTTATCGTGGTAAATTTTTTTTGCTTAGCCACTTGTGTGCAACATTTTTGCGTTTAATGATTGGTGTTATGAAAAGTTTGACCACATAAGCGTAGCCAATGTATTCTATTTTTTCTCACAATTTTTATTTTACGTAACAAGTAAAGATTCTACGGCAATACCCGTGAATCCTGTTAATGATCATCGTGACAAGTTTTTTTATATATGTTATGCATTAGGGTGATCATTCACGATTATTTTAGTGACTACGCTCCACTAATAATTTAGTATTTTTTCATATATGTTAGTTAATCGTAATGACTCAGTGCGTGCTCGCACATAGTATATATCAAACTAACTAATTACTATATTAATAACCACAGACTATACCCATCCTTAAATAATTTCCCGTTCCTGGTTTTGCGTGACAGCGTCGCGCAGCTACCTTATTTGTATATGGAAATAAACTAGGTGTATAGGAATATGAATAAGAAAACTATGTATCGGGATATAAATATAGAATAGATTAGCAAATGGAATGACGGCTATGTATACGGTTGAAACATAAACTGTGGGATAATGGTGGCGCAGGAAAAAACATGTGATAATAGTAACACCGCATTATAATACCTAGATACATTACGTTGGTATAGTAGAGATGAGCAAGGCAATAAATATATATTTTTTTTACCCTTACGTATTTTTACGTATCAATACTTATTATTGCTTATTACGACTGATTATTACTTATTACGATTCACAAATACAATCTGAATCGGAATAAGATAAATTTAAAATCCGATCTGGCTTATTACAATTACCACAGTTTTTTTTTTTTTTTACTTATTATTATCATTACGTAAAAAAATTGAGTGGTAATATTTTTTAATAATAAGTAACAAAACGTATTGACAATCGCCATTTCTATTATACAGGGAAACTTTTTGATTGTCAGAAAATGCCGCTTCGCGATGTTCTTTGATTAAAAAATTATCACTGTACCAACGTGACAAAGCTCTTACCGTTGATAAAGTATTTCGGAGGAAGTCTTGAATTGGATAAAGGAGCGAGGAGTAAGTTTTAT